CCATTTGCATATTCAGCAGATTTACACCTGAGGGAAACATCAGATTCTTAGTTCAAACACACCTTTGTAAAAAGGTGCAAATGGTATCTAATGTATCAATTAATAAGACTAAGTTTGAATGCTTGCATGTCTCGTCTGTCTGAAAGAAAGACTTGATGCAATCTGAAGGCTCACGTGGGTCTCTGCTGAAGTTGGTTGAGGAAAATAACCAGTTTGCGTCAGAGTAACTTGATGAATGGAAAAGACAAGGCCGAAGGCCTGGCACAAAACGTAGGATGTCCTGAAGCGTTGGAGCTCACATCTTATCAAAACCTAACAGAACCACCGAATCTGGGTTATGGGCCCAGTGTGGGCTTTTAATGTCTCGAAAGATTCACGCCTCTCAAGAGGGGCTTGTCCAATGAGAAAGACAGAAATTCCAAGCGGGAGGTGGCAATTGCTGGAGGGTTTTACGACCCTTTGTCTCTAAGCATGGTATTTTGCATATGAAACTTGGATCAAACTTACTAAAGATTCTTAGAACACTAATATGTTGCATAGGTATAAACATACAATATACACTCTCAATTAGATCATCCAAATTAATAGAGACCAAACACGTTATATGTAAGGTTCCATGAATGAGTGGTTCTATCATAAGCATGCATAAAATAGTCTACAATACAACAGATAACATACAAGACAGCAATAATATTCACAATGATCTGAAGGGTATGTGTGTTCATTCAAAGAAAGGTCTTCCTATGAATTCATTAGTAGAAAAGTCCATTTCTACTGTGCATTTTGGATTTCCTATGGAGATTGTAGTGAGAAAGGTGTTTCCCAGCATGCCATTAGGTCGTAAATGGATCTGGTCAAGCAGAGGTGTCGTGGTTGCCATGGGGACCAGGGGCCTGTTCGGCTTCCTGGGGTGTTACGCATTTCGGGGGGAAGGGCCCATAGGTCCTCATATGGTTTGTTAACTGAGGGGTGTTACAGAGTATTTGTTAAATCTAGCTAACAAAATATATATTGTGTGTTTGATTGGTCCAGACGCTACACTGCTGTTCTTCGGCTGGTTCTTCCCTGTATACATTGATTGATGTCTCGTCCAGTCAGCGGTGAGTAATCCCAAACCAATGGTGCTCATGACTAGAAAACAGTGGTTAAGTTATATTTACAACACTGCAGAACACTTCAATCCATATTCAGATGTGTGCAGCACATTTTATGGAGGACTGTTTCCTGATCCTGGGAGAGTAGACTACAATGCCAGAAGAAAATATGGGGGACTACCTGTCAAAAGTGATTGATTTATGACCCCAGGTGTCAAATTGATCCTCTGATGTCCTGTTCCTGTTCCTGTTTCCTGCTGTTTATGACCCACAGATGTAAAATTGAAACCTCTGACCACCTGTGTCGATCTGACACCTCTGACCTCCTGTTCCTGTTT